GTTTTTTTAAAGGGTTGGCCTCAGTCTTTCTATGTCAGCCCTGCATGGGCACTGTTGAAAAAATATAGCTCGGTGGGCATCCTTGATTCAGAGGGTGCATGCTGGGGACTCCGCCTCCACATGGGGGTCAAGGCCGCTGAGGACCCCGGGGCTGGGACGTCTGAGAATTCGTGCCACCCTGGCCCAAGCCCCTGCTGTCTCCCACCTGGACTGTCGCCATGGCCTCTGCTCCCGTGCCATCTCCCTGTGGCCGTGCTCGGACCCTCTGTGGGGATTGAAAGCTGGGCCCTGTGACCAGAGGTTCTGATTCAGCTGTTCTTTGATGGCACTTGGGCATTCGGCGCTGTAAGAACGCCACAGGGAAATCACGTGGGCAGCCAGGTTGAGCCCAGCTGGCCCTGGCCCGTTCTCCCCAGTGTAGACAGAGCAGCCATTTGACAGTGGTGTGTGTGGCACATGGCAGGCTCCTGCTCAGCCCCCTCATGCTGCGGGAGAAGCCCCCCTTGGACATGGCGGCAAGCGCCGCATGTTTCACCCCTATTGATTGTCCAAGCTCACCCCCTACCACCTCTCCTTGCCAACAACTCTCCATCCATGCTGGTCTCCTCAGCATCCCCTGGGCATCCCTCTCGAGGACTTCGCACATTGTGTCCCCTTTGCCTGGGACGTGCTTCCGCAGTGACCATGACCACCCCCTTTTTGTCCCGACTCCTGCTCAGGTATCACCTTCTCGGGGAGGCGTTGCCGTCCCCCTTCTGAAATAGCAGCCCTCAGCGCTCTGCGCTCCTCGCCCTGTTGGGTTCCCTTCCTAGCCATTTACCCCAACAAATACATGCTGCATGTGAATTTGCCACTAACTGTCTGGGTCTCTCCCGTGAAAGTAGAAACGCTCTGACCACAGAGAGTTTGCTTTGTTTACCCGTCATATCCCCACCACTCATACGGTCCTGGCACGTAGCAGGTGCTCACAGGTGGGGCCACCTCCCAAGCATGGGCCTCGGTGGGTGGCCTCCGGTTCGTCACTGAATGGAGCCGGGCAGGAGGCAGCCGGGCTTCTTCAGGCTCTGCAGCCGCCCCTTTAGCTCCCCTGGCAGCCGCTGTCCTTCCCCTGCTTTAAAGGCTGTAAAAAGAGAGAATTCGATTCATTGTCATTGTAAACTGGAACCACCTAGATTCACCAAAGGTGGTCAGGAATGCCGCGCCTCGGAGTAGCTGGTGGGAACTGCAGCAGCACAATTATGAAGCATAATCTGCTGTTAGGAAAAACGGGATTGAGTTTTTTTGTTTGTTTTGCTTGGGAAATGTTATACTAAGTAGATTGAAATGTTACGCTAAATAGATTAAATTAAGCAACTTTGAACTTTGAAATGTCCACATCCTAACGTTTTATTAAGCTTAATTGGGTTTGTAGAACATTTAAAGACCATTCAAACTTAAACAGAAGATGCACATGAACTAAAGGGCTGGTCGGTGGCTTTGTGCCACGTTGGTGAAGGCAGAGCCCGTGTGCCTGCAGAGGGCCCGGCTCTCTGCGGCCGTCGGTGTGTGCGGGCCCCGCTCTGGCCTGTACGGTGCCGGGGCCCCTTCCCACGGTCTCCGCGCTTCAGGAACCTCCCCAGTCCGCCTCTGCTGAAGCGCACAGCCGCATCAGAAAAGGCTGTCCAACGCGACTGGCGAAAGTTTGTTTGATGGCGCTTCTATCGCCAACTATGGGAAATAACATCCATCAGGTTAGAGAATCGGTGAGGGTTGGCAATGAGGAGCAGTTTGACTGGGTTACTCAGAAAGGTCTTGCCCTCCAGTAACTGGACGGTGTGGTGAGAGGCAACCCGTCCTGGGGGATGCGAGGCTGGGGCGTCGACCCCTCGTGTCTCCCCTTCTCGTGTTTGATCCTCGCTCTGGCCTGGTTCGCGCTGTCCTTACGGAATGGGTCAGGAAGCAGCAGCGACTGTCATTACTTTCTTCTCGTTTAAGATGGCCTTGAATTATTAAAGCAATATGTGTTCATTTGTAAAAATATTCAAATGATGTAGACGTCTATGAAGAAGTGTAAGTGGTCTTTCTAAAAAAATGGGATTCTGTGCTGACAATGTCCTACAACCTGCTCTTTTCGCCCTGCCACTTCCTAATGGATGTCTTTCTGTATGAGTACATAATTGCACACGTATCCTGCTATGTGTAAGTTCTGTAACCTCTTAGCCAATCAGCTATCCAGAAACACACAGGGTTGAATAGTTTTTGACCCTTAAAAATAGTGAAGGTGAACATCTTTGTACTTTTACCATTTTTGTGTATTTATGAAAATGTGTAAAACTGAATTATAGGAAGACATGCACTCAGCGATTGCTCATACCCGACTGCTTCCTGTCATCTGTGGTCCCTGCTCAGCCCCCTGTGGCATTTGATTTGTTATCTTGGCTGTAAGATAAATGCCTAGAGGTAGAGGTACTGGGTCTGAAAAAATTATGAATATAAAATGTCATGGATATTGTTAAATTGCTCTCCAAAAGATTTATTTTGGAGTCAAAATCCCTTTCTTCTGTTGCCAGTTGAAAGGTTTTATTGTGAGAAATCCAGGGTGTGAACCCAGGGTCCTTTGTTTATGTTTGTTTCATAGGCACAGATGCGACAAGTCATTTCCGTGCCATTTCTACTCAGATAAGGAGGCCCAGGCCCTGGGATGTCCAAGGACTGCACATACGTGGAAGTACTGAACATGATTCTGATTTTCTTTCATGAGCAGTCAAAAAAAATACAAACCAACACAACATTGCATGGGTGCACGAGTGCAGCCCTGGTGGCCACAGGGACGGCAGTCCTGCTGCAGGGGTCTCTCTGCTGGCTGTTGTCACTGGGGTGATCGTTGGCTCAGTTATTCTGAGCAGCATGTCGGGTTGGAAATTAGGTGCTATCCTGCTGCTTTTCCAAGTGGGTCGCTGTCTTCTTAAGTCAGGAATTACAGACGTTTTGCCAGAGAGAGCATTGTTCTGGAGTTTTAGCTATGCCTCTGAGAGAGAACTCAGTTTACCTAAGGTTCCCCATCTGGATGGCAGAGGAGGTTGGCGCACGCAGGTATCTTGGCTGAAATACAAACGGGCTGCTTTGTGTCAGGTCTTTTCCCCTTTGCTTACAAAGATAGACTCAGAGCCTCCTTTCCTAGGAGCTGATGCTCAGGCTTCTGCTTGTGAAGCACTAGTGGGGGTGCCTGTTGTTTATCAGTCTAATGCTTTCCCTCTAAATGGCTTAAATTTGAAATGGGAGGTGAAGACATGGGTCCAGGGGCAAAAGCCTGGATTCCAGCCCTGGTGGGGTTTCCTGTACTGTCAGAACCAACTCCCCAGGTGATCGAGAGGCGGCCCCGGTGTTGTCCTGAGGTCTCAGAGGATCTCTGTCATTACAGCAGGACCTGAAATGAAGCAAGTCACTTTACTTAACCAGACATCAGTTTCCCCCCAAATCAGACATCTTTAGCTAAATGCTGGGCAGGAAAAGGGCAACCAGGTCAACACCTCTGGCTATATGGGGTTGGCTCTTCCTCTTTGTCCCCCAGGAGTAGCCAGACTTTCCCAGTGTAAGAATCCTTCCTCCCAATGTGACTGCCATGGGAACGGTGTGAGAAAGAGCTGGGGGCTTGGAGAGAGGCAGAGGCCCGTCTGCCTGCCCACTGCCAGGAGGCTTCTGGCAGGAGCCATATGGACAAGATGACTGTGTCGCTGAAGACAGATGAGAACAGCAAAGGCTACGTAATGATGATGTGTATTTAAGCATCTCTTTATGTGGGAAATAAACATCACCAGAAACTATCCTTCAAGTTAGAATTCCCAGATATGACACTATTTACAATTAAAACAAAAGCTGAATTTCACAGCCTCTGGGCTCATTCATAGGTCTGTCCATTCTTGCATTAAGTTGTAACGTTCCAAGTACCGTGCCGATGAGGACACAGCCAGGGAGAGAGATGCGCCTCTTCCTTTCCCTCCCTGAGTTGGGCAGTCCAGGGGAGATCTACCTCCGAGAGGTGACCCCATGGGAAACCAGTTAACTACGATTGTCACGAGGCTCCGAGGGAGCAGCCGGGGTGCCGGGCCCGGTCGGGAGAGCTCAGGGGACCTCAGCTGGTAAAGCTTTGGCCGCATGGCCAGCATCAAGCATCTCATACCGTGTCTTCATTTAACTCAGCCACGAAGAGGTGGCCGAAGGACGGTGCATAACGCGCCAGAAGAGCTTTGCTTGGACTGTGTAGTGTTGACCCACATACCATGTTAAATTGGAATGAAAATTAGGCTTCACTCTTTTAATTCCTAATCTTTCTTCCATCTAATCCTCAGATACTACTTTGGGAGGTGGGTCATGCCTTATTTTTTTTTAATTCTGCCTTCATAGTTGAGAAAGCAATAGAAAACGAGAGAGCCAGGGTTTTGACATGTGCTCTTTGCTCTTCTGGGCCAAAACCTCAGGAAGGCGAGAGAGAGTCCCCACTGGCCTCCTGGCTGTAGGCGCTGCCTCTCGTCCCGGTTAGTTACCGTCTAAAAGCACACCAGACACCACAGGTAGTAGGAGAGAGCGTGCAGCCTGTCCTCACCACTGGGGGGAAATGCTGAGGGTCTTTTGGTGGTGTTTCCATTCCCCAAAGAGCACATTCTGTGCTTCCCATGCAGATGAGGAAGGTGGTTGGAGATTTAGTCCAGCCCTGGCGGATCCTTACCCACAAGTGTGCAGCCCACCCAGGCCCCCGGTGCTGCCCGTCTCCCATTTCAAGTTATACTCTTCTGCCATGCGTTGCATGCTGAAAACAACCACCACCAGTGCCATATGGCTTAAAAGATCAAAGGCCCCCAGTCTTGAGTATATTTCCAGCTGACTGTACTTCAAATGTTTTAAATATGCGCCAACAGATGGGAGGTCTGGAGCATTAAAGAGGTAAAGCACATGTGTGGGGGGCTGGCGTACAGTCTTTGCAGCAGGGGGCCACTCTGACCCATGTGCTCGTCTTCCTCCAGGTCCGCATGTTCACGTACCTCATTGGACGCGAGGCTGCTTTTGCGGACAATCTCAAGTGGATGGCGTGTGCCAACAAAGGTAGGCTCCCCCGTGTGCTCAGCTCTGAGTAACTTCCCCTTGGACATTACAGCAGAAATCGGGAGAGTCCTAAGTGGAGAAAGCCGAGGGAAGGCCGTGAGTGCCAAGACAAGGTGTGTGTGTTTCTAAAGGATTCTTGGCAGACTTGTAACAGCTTCTCCAGAAATATGTTTACAGATTGTGAGGACAGAGTCAGGTGGGGTGGTTAAGTAGCTGAGCGCCCTTGGGAGGTACGTATGGCAGGGCAATTTACTGCCCACTGGATATCCAGGTACTCACAGGCTGTTTTCAGCCCCCTCGCAGGTAGGTGGGGGCCTCAAGGTGGGTTCTGGCCCATAGACTGTGAGCAAAACTGACCTGGGTCATTTCTGAACTAAAGCCTTTTAGGAGCTGGTGTGGGGGGTGGCATCCTACTCTCCCTTCCTGCTGTTGTGAACTCTCAAACTACGTGTTCCAATGGAATAATCATGAAATGGCATGACCTTCATCAGCCTGGGTCCCTGAGTGACCACACAGAGCCACGGAGATGCCCAGTTTGATATGTTCCCATGGCATGACTCAGCCTACATAACTAGTTATGTTAGTTCACTTTAATGTGCTTCAATGTTCTAATTTTCAAAATGGGAATGTTGGTAATAGCCTTTCCTTTGATTCCTCTTAAATGTGAGAATTAATGAAATAATTACTAGTACCCAGAAGTGCTCAATAACGGTTGGCTTTTCTATATTCAGAGGTTAATTGATGAACGATCCCCTGTTGTGTGTCAGAAACAACGCTTTGGGAGAGGCACGGCCGGGAGTAACTGGGCCCCCCAGTCTATTTAGGGCTTCTTTTCATGCCATGCAACCAAGACACCAAGCATAGGAGGCACACAGGGGGTGGAGTCCACATTCCTTGTGTGTTAACCCAGACTCCTCGAGTTCAAATCCAGCCTCCACTACCCAAGTTACCAAAGCGATCTAGGTTTCAGTCATGTCCCCTACAGAATAGGGATAGTGACAACATCTGCCCCCACAGGTGTTGTGAACATGAAATGAGGCCGCACAGGTAAAACTAGTAGCTCAGTGCCTGGCACAAATACCCTATGCATTTCCTGGCATCCCTCTGATCTGTGGGCATGCCGTATTTCCCCTCTGAGGCCTCGTGCTCCATGGGAGCAGCCGTTGAGTCTGACGTCACCTGGATCAGTCTGACAGAGGCAGCCTGCTAACCTCACTGAGAGCGAGCATTCCCCTAATGTTTGAGAAATGAGTGCACTGACTACACATACTTACAAAGGGAAGCATGTCCGGTTGCACAGTAAATTGGTAATGCTGGATTTAGGTGGTCTTTTCTATGTTGTTTCCTATGCCAGCCCTTAACAAAAGTTGCAGTGTGTACATTAGTGGAATGCAAACGACTCAGTGAAAGCTTGCACATCCCAGCTCTTATGACAGCTATTTCAGTTGCAAGCAACCAGAATTGCTCCCTGAGATTGAAAAGACGAGTGTTTTGGAGAGAGAGGACTGACTCAGAACCCGGACAGGGAAGGCAAGCTCATGTGTCATGAGGAATCGGGCAGCTGTGTCTGGGTTTTCTTTCCCTTCTTGATTTCTTTCCACACTCCCCGCGACTCTTCTCCTCCAAACGTGGACCTTCCCTACCGTGGCCTGCCCACACCTGGAAATGGCCACCCCACGCCCTGCACGCTCATCTGTCCACACAGCAGGGTTGTGGGCAACGCATGACATTAGGAAGAGGAGAGTCTGTCTTCTCCATTTGAGACTGGTCAGCAACTCTAAGTTCTGATTTCAAGCCCCTTGCTTTCCCCCAAAAAGATTCTGACAACCAGCGTGGGCCAGATCTCCCCACTACTGAATTGGGTTATGAGCACTGGATGCCCACAGGAAAAATCACAAGCACTGTTCAGGGTCTCTCCACTGCCATCAGTGGGGTGGGAGGCTAGAAAGCAGGTACCCTGCCAGGCAAACCAACGTGACACCCACCTTTCCTTTGGCATCGTCTTTAATTATCCCCTTCTCCTTGAACAATCTCTTAAGCAAGTCTCAATTTTCTCACCTAACATGTAGAGAACTTAGAAGCTTTTAACATTTCCTTGAGACTCTAAAATAACCCGTTCTACAATTATGTTAGTCTGGGGCTGGCTTGCACCACAAAGAGGTGTCAGTAATTCTGACTGTCCCTGAATAATGCGTTTGGCTTCATTTAAGGGGAAGATACGGGAGGAATGAGCACAGGCATGAGGCGAGGCAGCCCAGGGCATCCCAGGTTGTCTCTGAGTTAAGAGGCCATTCTTGAAATAAGTTTTGAGACTTTGTTGACATTTGAAAACCTGGAGTGAGCTACACTTCTCCCATTTTTTTTCCTTTGTTCTGTGGTCTTGAGAAAAAGAATTCCTTTCCATATTTAAACTTTTAAAAATTTTACTGTTCCCCCTGTCACTTCAGATTACAATCCTTCCCTTGACGAATATGCGTTTAGTCATGGGGTATTGTTTTTAACCACCGTCTGTGTCCAGCTGATGAAAATTACTCAAATTGAGGTCTTGTCTTCATCAACATTACACCATAATTTAGTTTTAGTCATTGTTTATAAGAATCTTTGAAGCATCCTTTGGAGGTCAATTCAGAGTATTTCAGGGCCTGGCTATCGAATACAGCCCTTTAGACTTGTCAGTTCTTGAGTACAGCAGCTTGGAAAATCCACGGAGGAAATAGTAGCTGTTCAGCTGGCTGGGCCGCTGGATTGCAAAGCGCTTCTCCCTATCCCTCTGCTCAGATCTGGTCTGTACCCTCTCGACAGACCCAGGCCTCTTGATAGTCTCACCTTCCTCACTTGGCCTTTCTTCTCAAGGACCTTGGGAATAAAATGTCATTGATTGGCACCCTTCAGAGTAGCAGTCGCCATCGAAATGTTAGGTCTGGTCATCTGTCGCCACGTGAACACTGGCTTCGCGGTGTGCCAGTCATGAGGTTGCAGACCGCGTAAGATTGGTGAGCCAGTGTTCTTCTGTGGTCATTAATTAAATCACTGTTCATAGTCTCAGGTTGTTACAGTGTGGATGCAGCAGAGCATGTTCCATCTCAAGTGACATGAGGGCCTCTCTTACATATTCTCACCCTGACTCAGCCAAGTTCTTCAGTGAAATGAAGCCTTAGCATCCTGGGACTGGAGCAGACCTAGGGGGAGGCCAGGAGGCCAGGCGGCCAAGGAGAAGCCTGTTGGCTGACTGGTCCTGAGGAGGGGCAGGCCTCAGCAGGGCTGGTACCTCATCCCTGGGGAGAAGGGGTCAAGGATCCTCTTTAGGTACTGACCTTCTTGCCTGGAAGTCTGGGGGCCGTGGAGACAGTTCAGCCAGTGGACCTCAGGCACTGCCCTTAGAAATGGATTCCGGGGGACATTCCTACCCCTTGCAGGCGTTGTCTGCCTCTTCCAATCTACTGGCAAAATCCAGAGAGGCCTGGAGCCCATTGGTTCATTTTATTTTCTGCATAACTAGGTCCTATCTTGAGGGAACAGGCCCTAATGAGGCAAAGCAGCAAATGATTTTAAAGACATTAAAATAATCATTGCCACTGTCGAATGGCTTGTGTAATCTAAAGTTCTGCATTCCCACTGTTGGATAAACAAGTGACCTGGGAGAGCTGAAAAGAGGGGCTGATGCAGCCAGATACTCCATAGGGCCCTGACGACCTTCTCTGATGTTCGGTGCACCAAGATCGCAAAGAAGCACTTCCTGATTCCCCTTCAAAAATCACAGGGAAGGGAGCATTTCCCAGCTGTGCAAATAAGGACAGGCCTGCATGTCTGGGTTCTCAACCGATCAGTCATCGTCAGGTGGCATGGGTGCTCCGCTGGAGTCTCTCTCGGTTGTCTGCCCAGCCCGTCCCCTTTCAATGGGATGGTGGCCATTCTTTAATTATTTGAAAGAGAACTTGTGGCCTTAGCCCTCCTTGGAAGTTCAGACCCAGCCCTCTTCCATGAAAAAATCCCTAACTTCCATCTACCTGTCTAAGTGACTCATCCCCTAAAAGAGAGTTTTAAATGTATGAGGCCAGAGGGTTGTAGGTGGGGGCCAGAGAGAAGGGCAATGAAAACCTTTAGCTGTCTTGGAACAGGTGAAAGAAGGCAAAAATGTCAGATGTTCGGATGCCTTTGCATAATTTTTTTTTATACCTTTTGACCAATATCTTTGTAATTCCACCACCTTCCACCCCCTAGTCCCTGGTAACTACCATTTTAGTCTCTGTTTCTACCCATTCTGCGTTTTTAGAGTCCACATGTAGGTGACATCACACAGTATTGTCTGCCTCTGATTTCCCTCACTCGGCGTGATGCTCTCAGGGTCTGTCTGTGTCACCACAGTGGCAAGATTTCCTTCATTCTCGTGGCTGAATGACATTCCTGTGTGTGTGTGTGTGTGTGTGTGTGTGTGTGTGTGTGTGTGTGTGTACACATATATACCACAGGTTCTTCATGTATCTCCACTGATGGGCACAGTTGTGTATGCTCCCTGGAACATGAGAATTCCCATGGGAAGGATAATGGTGATGAGAATAAATACAGCCCCACTGTTATTAGCAGCAGCTAAGCATGACCAACTGCCCCCTCAGTGCCAAGTGGAATGCACGGTACTTCTGCATGTTATCCCTTTTGACCCCCTTTAAAGCTCCGTGAGGCGTGGGAGAAGGAATCTGTGACTTGGACCAACCAGCGCCACACCCAGGTTCCCAGTCAGCAGGTGGCACAGCCGGATCCAGGCCCTGCTAATGCAGAGCCCACGCCTAACCCTTCACCGAGAGCATAGGTTGCCTCTCTCTGGGGAAAGGAAAGTCTTGTTTCATAGAGCACTCTTGCGTGCTCCCATAGTGTGAAAGAATCTAGGAGAAGGAATGCAGAGGTTGAGAAAGATTAACATGCCGTAGCTATAAAAGACCAGACTGGGGTTCACACCCAGCCTGTGCGTTCCAGAAACAGCCCCACCTCTGCGTGTTTAGGCA